AAAAGGAGAATAGATGCAGAAGCGTAGGGGAACACAAAAGGCACTATTTATTTCCTGTAAAAACGCCTCATTACAAATGGCGCACGGCGTTGCCACATTGTTAGTAATCAATTATAAATAATGGTATGTATTTCGATATGGGAGAATCTGCTGTTTCTAATTGGCCTTAGGCTTTCCCGACGATCCTAGTACCTGATAAGAAAACGGTAGTTCCCCCTTAAAATTTTAAATTTATAGCAATTATGATTATAAAGATACTTACCCTTTTATGATATTAGTACAACAAAGTATAGAATTATACTTTCCGTGATCACTTTTATTTGCGAAGTTTTTAAGCAAATTAGCATAATTATATATGTATGTATATACATTGCTATATAAGTATGTGTATTAGGCCACGTCAAAAAAAAAAACACTAAAAATCCTGCAACAATGCTACCGGAATAAGACTCAAATTTTAGAATTTGGTATAGTAATGATCCTTCATGAATCTCACCTCTCGAGGACAATTGTAAGAGGAGCCGCCGAGAGCCTTTAGTATTCCCATAGGAATTACACGTAAGAAAATGAGTTCTTTCCTTTTGAGGTCAATATAATTTTCTAGGGGAATTACACGTAAGAAAATGAGTTCTTTCCTTTTGAGGTCAATATAATTTTCTAGGATCAATGAAATTGCTTGGAACTGTAAGAATACATTGATTACATGCCATTTGAGTATTGTGCATGCTCAAATTCGTAAAATTCCAAAAAATTTATATATTTACCATGATAAAAACATAGCAAGGTATAACCGTTCTCTCAATTTGTCGGCCATGATTTTTTTTTGAAGTTTGCCAACATTTTAAAATCATATAAAATTGAAAATAAAAAATTGAAATTGTTCGAAATTGTTGTTGCTTGAGATTGAAAATGAAAATGTGTGTGTGGGTTTGTGAGTAAATTTAAAAATTAAATTGTTTGGAAACGTCAAGAATTTTAAAAGTGACTCTCAGCGGTTCTACCTTACTATATTTTTATCATGATATTTACTATAAGGATGCTGTTTCAGGGCTAATACATATATACATACATCTAAGATCATTTAAAAGTTGTTAAGATCTTTTAGCTTTTATGGACAAAATTAGCAAAATTATTTTTTGTCCCGTATTCGGCTCGCATAAATATGGTCACCGTATATACACTAGATTTGACCCCAGTCGGACAAGGGATTAAATAAGGATAATTTAGGAATTAAAATAATCTCAGCCTACATAATCCTTAAATGGCATGTAATCATATACTATTATTCTTACAGTTTCGAGGTTTTGGAAAAATTTCTAATAATCGAACACCCTAGTGTACATTCATTTAACAACGTCAACTTCTTAGATCAACTACGTGGGTACATACATATTTACATACAGTATAGTATAACCGTAAAGAAGCACAATCTCAATGTGAAAATAAGAAAATGCCGCTCGACCGTAAATTCACTTCTTTGGCACTGGTAATATTCCTTTTCAGCGTTTGTCCTACTCCTAGCACACACGCCTACGATTGTCAAGTGTTTCTGCAAGACAAGGAAATCACAAGCACAGATTGGGCGAGCTTAGAGCCCTGCCTAGGGTTGGCAAATAATGAAGACATATCTGCTAATACAAGCGAAAATGTTTGGCGCCTCATCAAGATTGTAAGATTTTTCAAATAGAAAAAAAATATTGTAAAAATTTTGGTTGTAACTCTAATTTCCAAGGCCTTTGATGGCGTTGAAAATGTACCACCAGAGGTGTATGGTAAAATTCGTTTAGTGCTTACAGCCATCACTAACGAAGAGCTGCATAACATTAGCATGGCACGTGTGGAGATAGTCGAGGCATTTGGTGGGGTGCATGCGCTGAATAGCGGCGACACGAACAAAGGCTTTACCGATGAACAAATAAAATTAATTGCCAGAAAAGTTCGTACGGAGTGGCTGGGAAAGCGACCGGAAACCTATTCCGAATATGATCTCGTTTCAATGGGCGAAATCGCATGCCATCTGAATGCGAGTGATATTTTCAATATACATGCGGATGCTTTCAAGTAATGTGGAGGCAAAAAGTTTATGAGTATATCGACACCCGAAATGCAAAAAGATGTTACTAATAATTTTTTTTTTTTTTATAAAACAATGTGGGGAGTTGTGTAATTCGATGAAATCCATCATATCAATCAAAACGTGAATTTTGAATATTTTATTAGCTACGACTTCTTGCGTTTCAGCGACGATGTTTGTTACGTCATTTTGCATTTCAGGTGGCGATATGTACATATGTATGTATATAACATGTCCTTTATAATGCATATATGTAAATATTTTTTTAGAGCCGCTGCTGAATCGATTGGTAGTATTGAATCCTGTCCTGAAACTCAACTGCAGGCTTTTGCCAAATTAGCGTTGCGAAAGGAGGCCTTTGGTGAGGCAAAGGATTGGTCGAAAATTGTTGTAAAAAAAATAGTTCAACACAAGGTTTTCTTAGCGTGTACAATATTTTTTTTTTGTTTAATAGGTCAGCTTGGTTGGCAACATTGTCAACGGCCTATCGCAGCCCGATATGATAGCTATCGACGAGAGTAAACTAAAACTTAATCATTTCTATGCTCAAAAAAGAAAAAAGAGTCACAAAGGTCAAAAGAGACATGTTGAAAATGGCGAAGGTAACACCACAACTCCTCATTACATCAATAACTCTTCTATGAACAAGAAAAGTCGACAAAAAGGAGAACGTCACACTAATAAGGATTAACATCGCTACTAATAAACTCCATTACTCCAGTACCAGCACTATTTATGAATCCGAAACGAACTGCACCAAAATTGTAATATCGAAAAAATTGCTAACTTATACATACGTAAATGGATTAATATAAATATTCACATACATACTGTTACTCACAAAATTGAGCGTACGGCTCGTTTTTGTTAATACATATTCGTAATGTTTTACATGCTAAAATCTTTTTGTTAATTTTGAATTAAAATATGGCTTATATTTCAATGAAAAAAAATGCGAAGGACAGTCAGCAAAAAATTCTCAAAAATCAACGCGAATTTTCAGACATTTGAAATTTAATGGGCTATAAAACTACATACCTGCATGCTTTTTAGAAATTCGTATTAAAAAGTTCGAGATTTTGATGAAACTTCGCAGATTCTCTTAATTTTCGTACTGTTTCATTCGTGGATTTAAATGGGGTTTGCTAAAATAGTAGCCCCATTTTAATACAAAATTAACAAAAAGATTTTAGCATGTAAAACATTGCGAATTTCAACAAAAAAGAGTCGTTGTGCTCAATTTTGGGAATAACAGTATGTATGCATAGGGTCTATATAAAGCCATAAAAAAAGTAAAAATTTTGAAAATAAAATAAAATAAAGTTTCTCGTGACCACATTAAGCGCCGGTTAATTTTTCGACGATTTAACAGGCAGCAGCATTAAGCGTACAAAAGATTTTTTTATATTGACATAAAGGGCTGGTCTCTCCAACTCAACTTAACTTAGTTAAGCCATTTTTTGGACTTAAGTCAAAAGTTAGCCTACTTTTTACACAGCTTAATCTTCTAAGTCTAAAAAATTAGCTAAACTAAGTTAAGTTGAGTTTGAGAAATCAGCCCTAAGAGTTTTCATACCCATTTCGGTAGTTTTGGTAACTGCTAGTTGGTACTCGGTAGTTTTATTAACTGTGAACGACCTTTTCAGCTTACTTTTGTTAGTCTGGTAAACTATGATTATCAACAGTTGTTTCGTAGCTTTTTTCCTATAAAAAATTTAATTTTAAAAGAAAATTGAATGAATTTCACTTAATCGTATGCGCTATGCCTTTCGGCAGCTGGCTGATTTAAAATTTTATATATATCGAACTGCTAATCTGCTTAAAATTACCAGAAAAATTATCAAGCTACATACGCATGTCTTCAAAATTCACGCTATATACTAGGATTTTACTTTTAATTCATTTTATTTTAGTTTAAAGATCAGATAGAGGTTATTGCAATTCGAATTGTAACTATTTAAATAAATAAAAAAATATAGCGGCTTTGGCGAATAATGAAAATGTCAGTTCTTTATATGTAAATGTTATGTTAACTAAGTTTTTAACACATAAATCATTGGTCTGCAAACTTCCCTTCCCTTCTATTCCGACGTGCCCACGTAACCACATAATTTTAATGGTGTTTTTGTTTCGAAAGAGTATTCCACGTGATTTCGAAATTGTATGAGAATCATAGCACTGTGACGTGAAATGGGTCTGTAGTTAGAAACTAATGAATTGTTTATATTGAGTTTGGCAATAGGAATAATAATAGCAGTTTTCCACTCTTGGTGACCCTTGAGATAGAATGGAGTAATGGAGTTTAGTGCCTCTATGTTTGACGGGATATGGACGATTTTTTTGTGGCATCAAATTTGGTTTCAGTTGGACAGATATATCGCATTAGGTAGAACTAGTTTAGCATAGGCAAAAGTAGTTTGGCCTAAGATCAGATTTTAACGGTAACATATACACACTTACATACATAGGCACATGTAACTTACCTGCCACAACAAATGTTAATAAAAACAATTTTCCAGCAAAATTGTGTAGATAGAGGATTTTGCTCTTATAACAAAATGTTATTGCAGATAGTGGAATTTTCAAAATGAGAATATAATATCATTAAAGCTATATTTTAAATTTGACATTATTGTCATGGCTGAAGGATTAATTGCGGAGCTCACGTTACCATCGAAAACTCATTTTGATCAAAATTGCAGATAGAGGAGGATATTGAATATAATCCCTCGATATGTAGCTGTAATATATTTCTTACAAATACAAGTACGAGTATTTCTGTTGCGAATTTATGGCATATTATAAGTAGCCTAACCGCTGAGTTTTTGGTAATCATCGTTGACTTTTCTTCCCTTTTCCAAACCTTGGCACCAGCGAAATTTTTGTATACGATTAGAAATTTCTTTAATTTATTTAACAAATATTTTGTATATATTTTATTAAATCAAAGCAAAATTTGCATTAATACAAAGATCTGTGTTAGTAATCATAAAATAAAAATCTTAAACATTACACAAATTATGGATTCGTTAATAAAAATTTGTTTTAATCTGTTAAGAGTTTTTCCATTATATAATAAGACTCAAATTCATACACATCATACAATAGACGCAGTGCACAAACATATATGTTGAATACATATTTCCAGGCGTACATATAAACATTTATGATAAAGCGAAGCTTGTGTGCTGAATTATAGCAATGGCGACTTTAACAACTAAGGTGCCTGCTTTTAAACTATCAGGACTCGAATCGTCACGTACGATATCGTATTACTCGTCACGTAAAAACACCTTTTTCGGATTATCGTATGTGAACGTATCACGTAATTTTCTTTCGTATGGTTGTCGATCCGTGAACGGTTGTTACGATTCGAGCCCAGGACTCACTTCTATACTATCAAATAAATACAGAGAAAAATTGCTTTCAATTCAGGATACATATCTATGTACATATATACGCAGGTTATCAACGTTTCTCATTGATGGGTGATAGCGTGTTGCTATTTTGTGAGCTGGGCCGCTCTATGGTCATTGTCTGCTGTGGCACTTGGCTATCCGGACTAATGCCCAGTCCTGTGTAAATTTCTTTCATTACAAAGAGTATCGTGTCTTCAGATTCCCTGCAATGATAAGTACGAAAAGGTAATAGCACATTTAGATATACTTGTAATTGTACTTGTAAATAATAATAATATAAGCGTCGATGACCCTGATAATAGACCTCAAAAGCTGCAATTTATATACAGACACTTGTTTCCTATCTTTTGTTGTTTTACAGATAAATGTGGTTTTAAGTGGTCTTCAACGTTACATTTTTTGGAAGTCACGTTATATGCGTGCATATAATGTAGCACGTGCGGAAAACTTAGCGAATCCTGAAAAGTTAAAAATTAAACTAAAGTATTTTTTAATAAAAATCAGGGTTCAAATAAACTATAAAAATATTAACTTTTGGATAATACTGCACTATGCGTTCTTTAACGTTACTTACTATACTTGACTATATTCTCAATTTTGATCGCATGCGAGGCACAAGGAAAATGAACGCGCACCGCATATATTGGATGTCAATTGGCACTTGTTTTTAGATGCTTTAAGATCTAAATATATTTTACAACAATTTTGAATCGCTACATCTCAGAAATGGTAATTCTTAGGAAAACAAATTTATACTAGGCAACACTGATTTTGGTGCGGCAAATGTTAAAGCGGTTTTTGATAGACTTTTTTGTGTGCTGATTACGAATCCGTAAGTAGAAAGTTTCCATCAGCTCCAGATTTTGAAAAAATTAAGTCAAACTGTCAAAAAATCGCGTTTTTTGCAACATTTCAGAAGCTCTAGTAAAGAAACAAAAGGTAAGTAGTACCTTCCACGTAGGCTTAAATTAAAGTTAGCACCTTGACCTGATGGCCACTTTTAGTTATTTATTGAGCAATAAAAAAAAGACTGGAAAATGCCGACCAAGGCAATGGAGCAATAACTGCTCTGGATCCTTCTTCTCCGGGCGGGCATTGATTTCAACCCCGGACTAAAACATACTTCTGCTGCGTTTGCCAGAGACGACTAGCTTTGTGGCCCCCTGCTGCTCTACCCGCAAATGGCACGTATTCAAAGCATCGAATAACACAGGGATATAGAAGTTTGGTTCAACATGCAGAAACTTTTATTTTTGTAAACTTGTGTTATTATTTTGTTATCAACATTAGGAGAAATATGCCTGCAAAAAGTGGCCAGCTAGATAGCTCCAGAGCCAAGTTATTTAAATTTTTGTATGAACCTAATCCCTTTTCTGTTCCAATGAATTATAAAATTATTGAACTGAATAGATATCACTCCACCTAACAATATTAGTAATCTAGACCATCAGGGGTGCTTCATCGAAGAAGGTTGTGGATCGAAGTCTGTGGATCCATGATATCCGTGTCAAGTAAACTGCATCAAACAATCGCTGTTACAAATTTTTTTCGTTTTTCGTACCAAATGTATTTAATTTTACTTGGCTAAACAGTTAAAAAAAAAATTAATAAATTTTCACAATCAACATTTGCGCGGCAACCAAAATATGCAGTTGCCAATATAGCAATTCAGTTGTAAGCTTTCCGTTGCCAGTTACCATCTGTAATACAATTTCAGCCACGGGCAATGCAACTGAAGTTCGGTTGCCATCCGTAATCGACCCATTAGCTTCGGGCACGAAAAAGTTTCTTACTTTTATGAGAGTATTTTGTACTTACACACATTTGCCCAGAAAAAAAAAAAAAACTGTATACTGCAATAGTTTTGTTATTGCTTAGATGAAGTCAAGTGTACATTTGTGCAGCGGTTTAACATACAAATAAATAACCGAAATCGTTAACTTACCAATAACAAACATGCGCGCCCATGGCGAATATGTACTCGTTGATGAATTCCAATGGTGCTTCTTGTAAAACATAATCGATGCGCTTGGAGTCATTCAATTTACCCAAAGGAAAATCTATTTCAACCAAATCGGAATCAGATTGCGACGTTGACACTGAATCGGAACGTGTACGAGGCGGTTCTGTGTTCGCTTGCGTGGAGCCAGCATCCGGCTCACTGGATAAACTAGGCTGCACTGCTGCTTGCTTTTGTTGTTTCTCTGCTTCTATTTGCATACTTAAAACCTAAAGATTACGTTTGAAGAACGAAATAATGTTTAATAATGTGGTGCATAATATGCTTATCACTCATGTATAACCGATCCACATACATACATACCTTATCAACTTCCTTTGACATGTTCTCCTCCGCATCGCGGCTGGTTCGCGTCGAGCCTCCCAAAAAATTAACACTTTCCAACGTATTTTTGAATGTATCCAAGAACCGTTGTTTCAAGTCAGCACCCACACGAGTCATTGTCTCTTTCAACTCCAAATGCATACGTTTACGTCCCTTGTGATGTGGTATCAGTACTGGTCGCACATTGCTCAAATCCGGATTAACCAGCGCTTCGATGCGATAAGCGACTGGATCGAAGGGATGGAATATGTTGTAAAAGCCCGAACAAGTAGGCAGGCGAAAGTCAAGGCCAAGCTTATCAATGCCGCGAATGGTGACAAACATGCCTTTTGAAAAGGAAAATATATGAGTTTAATAGCGTTGGTAAACAACAGCGCAGATTACTGAAAATGGGATACACTCACCGATTGGCGAACCCAATGCGAAAACTTTTTTCGGTTCAAAATTAAGCTGTGGATAATGTATGAATGGCTGACCAGTCCCAGCGTGGCCCATTGTATAGCTTGTAACGCTCAGATCGTCATTGCTGACGTCCATGGGGCTTGTGCCGAGCTGATCGGGATTCTCCTGCAAACCCAAGGAAAAAATAAAAATAAATAAGTAAATAAAGTAGAGCGCCACGCACGGAATAGAAACTTCCCTCGATTCTTTTTTTTTTATTCGTTTCGTACTGCAGAAATTTGTACATTACATTCTGATTCAATGCCTGTGCTTATTTCGAAAATTTTAATTTAAATATGGCTCATTCCACGGTGACGGGTGTGACATTTCAACCTACATTTTAAGGCTTAATTCTTAAATTATAATATAAAATCTTTAAAGCATTTGAGCATCGAGCGCACCTCTCCGCATTCGTTTTCTTATACTTTTAAGTTATTTTTACTGATGAAGAAAAAAGTAGGAAGAAACTAGCGGTGCATCGAATTTTTGTGAAAAGGCTGAGAAAAGAAGATTAAAATTTGGCAGCGCTCACTCAGGGTGGAATAAGTGAAGCCTTCTTTCGAGAAAAGCAAACATGGCCTTTTTTTAATGTGAAAATACTTTTTCGATTCAAAATTTTCAAATCGCTAATATGAAAACCCCGAAAATTATGCTGTTTGAAAAAATCATGTTACTTGTTTCTTTGTGTAGTAAATTTAACCTTATTTGACAAGTGGTGAACCCAAGTGTATGAGTACTTACTAAATTCTGTTCCTCGGTTTCCTTCGGCGCTTTTTGGTGACAAAGTAAATCGAAAAGTATCAACGAGCCCAAACTATGCCCTGCCACTGAGACACCGCCATTGAATTCTGGATGACGTTCGCGGTATTTATTGTACACTTCGTTCATAGACGCAGCCACTGTGTTCATAATCTTTTGACAATATTTAGGACTGGTGTAAAAGAGCACATCCAACAGTGTATCGTTGGTGAAATTTCGTAATTTCGGTATTGACTCCAATGTTATTGAACGCAGTTTTTCATCAATGCCCATTTCCTCTGAATGTAAGTGGCTATGCCATGAAATAGGCAGCACTTCGACGCGGCCTACAAGTCCCATCTCAGTTGAATTTTTGTAGTGTGACTGAACCAAAGCCTGTGCAATGTTGCGAAAGTCGTCAACTGAATGTGGAGATAGTAAATATTAATTGGCATTTAAATGCAATTTTTGAACCTAGAAATGTTTTGCAATTACGGCTTAATATGGCTTTCCCAATTACTATCGCAATCCATTCACACGGACACATTCTTAATTCGATTTGACAGTTATTTGTCTCTGTGTTATATGGTATCTTCTTTTTGATACACAATGTGAGTTATTGTTAAAAATTTATAAATTTCCATATTAAATTGGTGATGTATGTACATACTATTTATTAACGTTACTTTTAGTACTAAGAAAAATTTCCGATAAAACTTAGGGAAGGCTGCAATTTGCTCGTAATTCGTATGGTAATTGGAGCGCGAATTATGAACGAGAGAGCAATTGGGGTGCCGTGGGAAAGCTGTATAACTATTGCTTCGTACTAAACTAACCAACTTCATCGACGCTGCGCATTTTCAAATCGCATGCCGAACCAATGCCATGTACCATCAGCAGTAAATGATCGACGCGCTCCGATTCACCCTGTTCAATTGTGAATTCGTCAAGGTCACGCTTAACCACACGAGGTCGTGTTGTTGTTTGCTACATTAAATAGTTATTTGAATTTATATTCGTTTTATATTAAGATTAACCTCGAAGATACATATATGTATGTATGTACTTACTGAAGTACCGCCCCAAGCGTCGGTAGACTGTTGCTGCTGAAAATGTACAATAACGGTGGGTCCATGGAATGTCACCTGCTCATGCATAGACAAAACGATCTTCTTATGCCATTCTCCGCTATCAAATGCCTGTTTATACTCGGATTCAAGTAGATCAGCGATTGACTCTTCATAAGGCACCATTTTGGAGTCGGTGCCTTTATAGAACCATGAGCAACGTCTGACCTCTATGGGAGCACATTCCCAGTAAACAGCCGTTTTGGTACGCTCCTTTATATTTACATCATAGCGGCCACCCTCGACGGCGACAATATTCGGAGAATTGGCTGCAAGTACAAATTATAACATACATACATAAACGACCTACAGTATTGTAACTATTCATGTGAACAGCTGAGAGGATAGACAGACGGCACCGTTGACCCGAATCAACTCATTCATTTGAAATTAATTACCTCAGGAATTAACTGCCAGCTGTTGTCTATTCAATAGACTCTATTGTATAAGCAAGCAAACAAAGCAAGCGAGAGCTGCGTACCACATTTTCGTAGTACTCAGGTTCGATTTTTATACCCGAGCGCAGTTGTGTTCGTTCACATAGCTGTTGTTTGTAACAGCTTAAAGGAACCGAGATAGATATAGACAATGAAAAGATATACCGATTAAGCCCCGGTTGTCCGTCCGTCCGATGACTCGAGTAAAAATTGAGATATCTTAAGGAAAGTTGGAAGATGTATTTCTTTCGAGCTAAGTTTGCAGAAATACGAAACCTGCGATATTTTAGTAACTATTCAAGCTGGGAATAAGAATGTGTGTGTGAGTTTGTGAGTAAATTTTAAAATTAAAATGCTTGAAAACGTCAAAAATACTAAGAGTATCTCTCAGCGGTTCTACCCCACCAAACAATTTTTGTTGCCAGCAATAAGAAAACGTCTCGCCCTCGGAAACAAATTTATTGCCGGTAATATTGCCATAGTATCGATTTCCTATTACTAGTCGCTCTAAAACGTACGCCGAAGGCAACTCGACTGGGCGAGTCGTTATCTTATTACCTGAATGCGTAATTTTCTTATCGTTTCAGGCAAGGTGTATTGAAGAAGGTGGGATTGACAACCCAGGTAGGCTCTCTTTTAAGGTACCAAAAAATATAAACAAAAATATAAACAAGCGATTCAAAATTCATAAACAATTTTTTCAATTTAACTTTATAGGGTGGTTCATGATACAATAATTATTAGAAAGTAGTTTCACTTCAATATTTTTGACATAAACCGTGTCTGTGACAAACACGCATGTGGCCACTGCCATGATATAGAACTTGGGGATTTTCGCATGTAAACATGTAAAGATTTATAAATTTCATAATTGATCACTTCATTTTTAATATACATATGTATACGTATTTAATACATACATTCTTGCCACTGCTATTCACATGAATAAAAATCATAAAAATGAAAATGTAACGGCAATATTTCTTGTTTAAAATGTTTTAGATCCATCGCACACCACGGACTTTATCGGCCCCCGATTTAGTTGGGCTCGCTAGTCGCTTTCCATTGCACCACAACTAATTGGTCGGTGCGATTAAGTTGGTGTAGTGTGCGAACCTCCATACATCTTCATGTACATATTTCAAGCGGGCCCTACTATTTAAATAGGCGGCCGATAAATTCTGTGCTGTGCGGTGGCCCTTATGTGTAGCTGCAACCTTACATCTATTCCGTGTGTTGCAATATCCATGGAAGTAGCAGTTAATATTTTCTTAATTTTTTATGAAGAAAATTATTTAAAAATATTAGAAAATTCCTCTACTTATATGTTTGGCTTTCCTTTGTTATATTTTTCCAACGCCAAAAGCTGGATTTTTTTTGAAAAAGTTGGTAAAACAAAAAATACGAGACACGTTTTCTGTCAGATAGCTAACATGGTGGATAATAAGAAGAAATGAAACTACCTTCTAAAAATTTAATGTATCATGGGGTGGTTCTTCTGAGAGCAATGCCAAATTCAAACACACTTTGTTGAATACATTTTGGTTTCAGGCGATGTTTGAAATAATTTGTGTCGCCAATTTGTTGCCATTGACGATTGTTGCTCATTTCTCCTGTTTTGCGTGGTGGGACCTTACTATATTTTTTATCATGGTACAAACCACATACTCGTACGTACACGTAGTAGTCACATATCTATAGAAATTATGAAAGAAAGTCTGAACGTACTTGATTTATGTGAAGTAATTGGATCGAAACAAAGTAATTTATGCTGCAGTATGAACATACGCTTGTAGTAGAAGAAACTTATTGCTGGCACCCTTGTTTTGTTTGCTTTTAGAATGAAAAAACATACATACATATACCCTTTCTTACGTTTTTTCTTCATTACATAACACAAGTGTAAAACGTAGCAAGAAATAGACACAAAGAAGTGCAACTGACTCAAAGAATTACGCTGGTCATTTGACTGTCTGCGTAACTCGACCCACGACCCACGACCCAATGTTGTCGCCTGTCTATGCTATATAACACAACTTACCACCCATAGATAACGTGGTTTCTAACAAAGCAGAATCATAGTGACTAAATGGTGTCCACACGAACTTGTTGCTACCCGTCGGCCGCTTGTAAAACCAATGCTTGACTGCGGGCGAATAGGGCTGAAAAGTAAAAAAAAAACAAAAATAATAATAATAATGCGATGAAATTTAGTAATAAGATATAAAAATTAATGTTTTTCTTTGGTGCGAGCATCACTTGAAAACGGCTGGACCTATTACGCGAATTGTCTTAATAGTTCATTGTAATCTATGTACAGTGTGACCTGTATATGTTCATACAAAAACAAAGGAGTTTTTATTAATCAAAGCTGGATTTGGAAAAGTGCAAATTGTTACCAATTATAAGTTGAAGGTTAAAGATTTGGTTTAAAAGGCAGTTACTCTATTATATGGCCATTGTTTTCCACAAAACGTTAAGTCTTTTTTTCAAAACTGTTGCATGCGGCACGCACCACGCCCATCGGTATAGATACTGTCCTATAAGTCGAGGATGGCTGTTTTAAAATTCATAAAGGTTTTGAGTTTGTAAACTTTAAGTTCCTACATATTATTATATGTATGTATAAATGTATGTATACAAGTACTTGAAATACTTCGCAGTTACGTATGTACATTAGACTGATTAAAAAAAATCGACTAATTTTTCTTTTAACCTTCATTACCTTCAGAGGGATGTTAAAAGATGCCTGTTAAATGCGCAACCCTTAATATTAAGTTTAAAAGGTCGCGCATCGCGGATCACAATTTTCCATATAAATGACTTAGAAAAAAATTGTTTTCAACTTTGGAATTGGTTTTCTCGTCTTTGAATTATCGGACTGAGTGCGGTACATATTTTTGCAGGAAATTAGAAGTCCTACATGAAACTTCCCATATCATTTTTTGATAAACCTACTGGTTTAACGGTTATTCAAACTTAAAGATAATTTACATATGTCATTATTACAGTTTTTTCTCCTAGGTCAAATAATTAAATTTATTTTCAACTATCCAGGTTAGGTTAGGTTAGGAGCGCGTGTGTGCAGAGCACGGACTTGGAAAAATTAATATTGGAGGCTGAATTTTCCGACGATGGTTCCAAAGATCCCTTCCTTGCCCACCCTGGCAATGAAGTCTCCAAGCACGATTTTGATATCATGACGGGGGCAGCGCTCGTACGTGCGCTCCAAGCGCTCATAGAAGAGATCCTTGGATGCCTCATCCTCCTCTCCGGTCGGGCATGGGCGCAGATGAGCGAATGTTGAAGAATTTCGCTTTGATGCGGATTGTGGCTAGACGCTCGTCCATCGGGGTGGTGGTAACGACGGTACTCGGCGACGGAGTCTCGACACTGGTAATCGATGCAGGTCAAGACGAATACATATAAGGTGGTAGCGATTCAACAAATGCAACAATTACTTATATTTTAGTTTTGCGCTTAGCGGACCATTTGCAAATTTCAGCTATTCTCCCCGAATGAAAAAGGGCGACAGAAAATACAAACACTCTCACGTTTTCACTCCCTCACTA